AATGGGAAAGTTCCAATAGAAAGCAAGACAGTAATCTGAATAGTCAGATGAAAGCATGATTAGAGATTGTTAGCACAAGCATGATTTTGTTGCAATAGCCAAGTAAGTAGTTCAACGTTCTTAAGAAAATAATTTTTACAATAATTTTTGAAGTTATATAGTGCTCCTAGAAACCACAGTAGATACTCTAGTAGTTAACAAAGAGGGGGGAAAAGGACATGATTTAATCAAACACAACATTTTATAAACTAAAAGGGAGAATCAAATACAGAAAAATGTGGGCTAACATTTACCAAAGGCCAAATAATTAGTTCTTTTCAAGATTCTCACCAGATAGAGAAATACTGCAGGATTAAAAGTGGTGCATTATTAAACATAAGCTGAAATAAAATAAATACCACAACAAGCATAAAACCTAATGTATTGGGAAACAAACTCTATGTACTCTGCATAACTGTAATTGTATTTAATTTCTTAAAATCTGGTAACTTCTAAATAAATAAGTCACAAAAACAAAAACTCACAAGAATAAACCATAATCAAGACCACCAATAATTCCCTCTTGAATCAGTAATAGCACAATACATTTGGCTATATCATTGAAAGGTACTACAATACATAAGTCCATGTAAAAATTAAGAAAACTGATTAAGTATATGCATACACACACATAAATATACCCACACACATATATAATATATACATATAGACAGATAGATAGATATACACACACATAATAGTCTTAGCATTAATATGCTCACATAATGAGCTTTTGAAAGAGCAATCTTTCCTAAAGAAACAATTTTTGGTAATTTGTTGATACTTATTTGTAGTGTAAGTCTGAAATATTCTCATTTCTGAGTATGCTTAAAGCAATGAAATAATTTTTTATTCATCCAGTCCTGATCTTCATACTCTTAACACTTTTAGAACAGGTGGGAACAGTGACCTGCTTTTCCAACCATTATATCCCCCAGACATGACTAATTAGAAGCTGAGCAAATTGCACATAATGGGCCAGGGATTCAAGTTCATGATTTTTAGTGGCTGCACTCGTGTTTCAGGGCACATGTTTCCTATCCACCCTCTTCACTCCTGCAGCTGCCTGTCTCTACATGAAATCAAAGGAAATTTATTTTTAAAAAAATTTCTGCAGGCTTATTTTTGAGGAGGATAAAGATTAAGCTATGTCTTTAAAATGTTTTATTTTCCTTCAGGGGGTTCTTAAATTTTTTAAGTGAGTTCTAAATACTAAAGAAGCTAGCCACGTAAGAAACCTTTTCAATACATATGAAGATAATCAGATGAAAGATTTTATAATGGCTCGGTTTTTACGAAAGCACAGCATAATCCAGTGAATTTTTAAATACCCCAAGTTCTGACATATACCTATTGCTTTCTAGAGCCTTTTTGCAAAATTCCATTCAAGATTTAGCAGTACCCAGACACTGGCACAAGAAAAAAATAAATAAATAAGTGCACACACCCAAACACATATAGGGGAGTGTTTAAGCTGGCTAACCAAAACCCAATCTCTATTTGCTTTTTTTACTTAATATTTAAAGTTTCCCCATCAATTTTAGAAGGCTGCAATCAGACACCACACCAATCTAAATGCCATCTAAAACTCTCAAAGTCCTGAAAAAATAATATTATTTTATAACTGAAAGAACCTTTAAACTCATTAACCTACTATAAGACGACTTTTGAAACGAAAAAAAGTCAACCGAAAATAGGGGGCAGAAGACCAAAAATTGCACAAAAATTACCTGCAGATCTTGACGGCAAAGTAAGTCTTTTCTTTGAAGTGGGGGGGTAGTCTTATACAGCGAATATAGGCCTAAACCTATGTTTTAACTGTAAAATTAGGGGGTCGTCTTATACGCCGGAAAATACGGTAACAAGGAGGAGAATGAAGCCTGTTGGTTAATTGATTTGCCTGGTCGCTTTGGGATGTGTGGTTTGCCATTGTTTCGTGCATATGTGTGTGTAGTACTTATATTCTTATAACCAGGAGCTTTGCCATTCAGATCCTCCTCTTTCTAGGTCCATATTTCCTTTCTGGGAGAATAGTGATCAAAAAGGAACATATATTATGGCCAATTTACTGCTAAAATTTCCCTTGGCTTCTACAGATTAGAAAGACACATCTCACCCAGGATACCTGACTTCTAACATATCAGTGGAATTGGGAAGTGAAGCTCTTTGTTCAGTGGGGAGAGTGGAGAAGGAAGTTTGTGAACTTTGCTTTCCAGCCTACAAACTGCTCCTTCATCTATTGAATCCAGTGGCCCACTTTGTTGAAGTTCTATTCCTTGATAGGTTTCCTCTGCTTCCCAATTTAGGGAAGTTTGATGGAAAAACATGTTTACGGTTTGTTGATATTTATTTCCCATGTTTGGGTCTTGTAGTATACCCAAGTTCCTAGATTTCTTTAAAAAAACTAACTAAATAAAATCTCTAAATGGATGAGATAAAGGCTTGGAAGCTGTTCCAAGTATTTAACATGGGCTGGATCTGATCTTTTCAGTCTCCCAGCCAGAACTGGGTACAGAGCTGTGACAACCGAGGAAGAAAGGAAGCTAAACAGAAAACTTACCCCCCCCCCCCAAGATGTGTTATACATAATTATTTCCTTTTTTAAGGAAAGTTGTAAATAAAGCCATTTCTTTGTTCAAGAGAATCTAATTACAGTTTAGAACCGATCACTAACTTTTTGGTCACTCACCAAGTTCTCTGGGGAAAACAACCCTTGGCATCCCTCACTCCAGACAAACCCCCCTTTGAACGTGCAACTGTACCATTCTCACTGCAACTTGAATGTCCAGCAGTCACGCACCAGTGTCGTCAGACCATCTCCCTGGTGCTAAGGCTCCAGAAAGTATACTAATTCCAGCAATGCCCTCAGAAACCTAAAACACTGGGTGATGGGCCCTTCAAGGTTAGTATCAGCTTTGGAAAACGAAACGTGCACCAACAAACACCAGGGAGCTGTGTGTAATGGTTCACTGCCGAACAAAAACCTCAAAGAGGATGAAGGTCAGACAGGGATAATAGGCCAATTTAATTCTGAAAGCACAAGGTGCAAGAAATTTTAATTATGGTCTGCCACTTGAAATCACACAGGATCCAATGGCATCTAACTGCAACTGCTCATCAAGGGAGACAAGAGGTGTAATTGTAACCGCTGCATAATCACTGAGAGCGCACAGGGAAAGGCTGCCTTCAGCTCCCAGCAGAGGATGTACTATTAAGAGCCTCGAAAAATCCAATTCAAGGAAACTCAGAGATTGCACATAGCTAGTGAACAGGAGCTCATAAGAGGAAAGCTCTACCTGAGTGTGTGTGTGTGTGTGTGTGTGTGTGTGTGTGTGTGTGTGTCTTTGGGGAAGGGGGTGTTCCAAGATTAAGGTGTTTGGCCCAAATTGAAAATAGGAGCTTGGAAAACTCTGAACCCCTTTCTGCTCACATACAGCGAGAAAGAAAGGTCTGAGCTCCTCCAGCAATGCCTCCCCTCAGGGAAGCTTTGCCCGCTCTCCTTTGTTTAAAAACAATTACCTGGGACGTTACAGCGATTTACAGAACCAGACTCCCTTTGGCTGGTTCCCATCACACCCAGGTATGGAGACAAAACGCCAAGCATACCACTCCAAGTGCCCAAGCTCTCACCCCCAAGAGGAGACTATGACTATGACGACGCCTGTTCTGTGCGGTGCAGACTCTTGGCAAAGGGAAGCGTGGAGAGAGCCCCTCCGTGGACTTTCCGCTCCACAAAGTTTTACAAATCCGAGAAGGGAGTAAAATCCCCCATCCGCGCAGGCTGCATAGTTGGCGCTGAAGTTTGTGCCGGGGATGTCCTAAATCTCTTGGGGGCAGGGGACACGAGAGTATGGAATGGAGAGGCGGGAAGACAGATGAAGATGGAGAGAGAGTAAAAAAAAAGGGGGGGGAGGGGGAGGAGGGGGGCGGTAATTTTTCGAGTGGAAGGTCCTTGAGACCTTCTTCATCCGGAAGCCTCTTTGGCTCAGAGGTCCGGGCTGTGTGCACCAGGAGAGGTCCCCTAGGGCCGGGGAGCTGTCACCTGCGCGGGGTGCGGGGGTGGCGGTGGCGGGAGCTTCCCAACGCGCCAAGCCAGGACCGCGGGCTCCAGATCCACCCGCTCTCGGGGCTCCGAGAAGTGGGGGGAGGGCAGATTTGAAAGAGGGCACCAGGCCAACAGCAACACCTTTCGGATACGCTGTTCTCCTCCTCCTCCTCCGACCTCTCCAACTTCCATGGGCGCCAGCCAAGGACTTTCTCCCGCCGCCCCCACCCCACCCCCCACCCCATCCCGCCTCCCCTCGCTCCGCTCGGACCTCCTGACCGCAGCGGGCGGAGAGTAGGAATGGGGTGCTTCGAGGGAGCAGACGGAGCGGGAGGTTGGGACCCAACACACAAACTCTCAGCCCCTGGCTGAGAAGACCAGACCAGATGCATTTAACACAGGCAACCAGCACAACCCTGGACCCAGGCTCCGGGTTTGCATCAGGCTCAGTTCCCCCGACTCCTCTGTTGTTCCCAATAAAGTCTTATTAGGCGCCCTCCGGAGCTAGATGGAGGGAAAGAGGAGGAAAGTGGGGGTGGCGGGGGGGAGGGGGAGCGCGGGAAAAAGCGGGGGGGGGGGGGGGCCGGGGGCGGGAGCAGCAATCAACTTTGCAACCCGGCGCTTCCTCCCGCGGTCCAGTGGCCAGGCCTCAGATTCCCACCCCCGCCGCCCCCCTCCTGCCTTTCAAGTGGATACTGAAACTAGGCCAAAACTTTTCCCCCTCCTTTTCTCTTCGCCACTAGACTGGATGGTGCCCCACGGAGCCCCATGGAGCTCTGCTTTCTTAAGCACAATAGCCGGACTAATTAGATCATAGAGGCGAGACAGCGATACTGTAACAAGTAGCCCGAGCGGCGAGGGAAGGGGCCCGGACCGAGAGAGAAAGGGGGAAAAGTTTGCAGCTCCGGGCACTTACCGATCAAGCCTCCCACTAGAAAGGCGATGACTTGGAACACAAGCAGAATCCCGCCGACAATGCACAGCTTCTTGGTGCTCATGTTTTCTATAATTGCCCCAGCCATTTTTTTTCCTTTTTTGCGGCCCCCCCCCTTTTTTTTTTTTTTGCAAATACAATGTTTTGGGGTGTGCTTTTTGCTCGCTCTCCTCTCACGCTCCCCGCCCCCTCCCTCTCCTCCTCTCCGGGCGCCGCTGCAAAACTTCAGGGGTGCGGGCTGGCGGCGAGGATGGGACCTGGGCGGTCGGCGCCCGCGCGGACTCCCCCGGCGCGGCCGTTCGGGCTCCCCCGGTGCCCGGAGCTGTGATTGTGGCCGCTCCGCCGCCTGTGGACGCTTAAAGGAGCAGGGAAGCGGATCACATGACACCGCCTCCCTCCCTTTCTTCCTCCCTCCCTCCCTCCCGCGCTTCCTCCCTTCCCTCCCTCTCCCTCTCTTCCTCACCCCCTTGCCCGCCCGCCTGTGCGGGGGGCGCCCAGCTCCCGTCGGGCAGGCAGGCAGCTAGCTCGCCCAGCCTGGGGCCGGTGTCCTTTGGGGGTTGATGTTGCTGTTCAGTGGGTTCCCCCTACCCCGCCTCTGACACGATTTCTTTTCTGGTGCGAGATTTAAAATCACTGGTGGGCAGCTTTGCAGACCTTTAACTAAGGCGTTGACTTTAGGAAAGGGTCCTATCCCCTCCCCCCACAACTGCTAGAACTCTCTTTAGGAAAGAGGAGAATTATTTAAAAAAAAAAAAAAAAAAAAAGACACCCAAAAATGTTTAAATCAAAGAACAGAGATGTTGAACAATGTCTCAGCTCGGCTGGCTTCCGAATGCCTGAGCCCAGCTATTAGGCACATACCCAGCTACCATCCCCTCAGGGCCCCCTTTAATTTAAGGAACCCTGTGCTCCAGCCAAATTAGCCCTCTGTTCCTTCCGTGATGCCCCACTCCATGTGTTTCCAGAGCCTTGACCCTAGTTCTTGCGTTTAAAAAAAATTTTTTTTTTAATTCCATCAGAGTTTTAATCCTTTAAAAACCAACTCGCCTGAAGAGCCTTGCTAATTTTCCAAACCATCTCTGTAACATCCTCCGAACGGAGCGGAGCCCCTACAGTTCCTGTTTACATTCTTAGCTCCTCTTGTAAAGGACTGGTAAGGACGTTTGTCTCCCCCACGGTGCCTAAACTCCTGGGGGATAGGGACTGAGTTCCATTCATCTTTGCACCCCCCGTGGTGCCTAACAAAATTCTAGCTCTAGTAGGTCCTCCATGAACTTTTGAGGGCTGAATTAATCCGTGAGTGTGAAAACAAGCCCACCGTTTGCATTTCAAAAGCCTGAAAGAGGCATTTGATTTAGATGGTACACATATTAAATGGCAATGTTTGTTCTCTCTTGGTGAGGATATATTTTTGCTTATACTTAACTTTGAGAGGGGGGAGGGGGAGAAACACAAGAGATTTCCTGCTCTATGGAAAATAAATTCCTGGGCTTGGTTTTTCTGTGTTTCATAAACTGGTTGCTTGGCCAGCACAACACACGTTTCCCAAATAGACCCTGGATCTGGTAACCTCTCCTCTCCACTCTCACACATGTAGGGTTTCTACCACCCACCACCCCTGACACACCTGATTTCCTGCCCTCCCCTCCATCAACACCCTCTTTATGCCAAGGGAACATGGAAAGTCCTTTCTCCTCCTCTACTCTGCTCCTGGACTTGTATTGCCCTTCCAGAAGATGCCATGAAACTTGCACATCATAGCGGTGCTCATTTCTAAAGTTCAGCAAGATATTTCTTGTTGGACTGGTATCAAACTTTATGTATATAAAACTACACTAACAGTCTGAACAGTTCTGAGATATGTTTGCTCTTTATTCCTTCTTCCCTTAACTAGCAGTCACTCACTGAGCCCTTAACCCCTTCCATGCTTTTTTGCTTTTTTTTTCTAAGCACTGGGGGGTTGATACCAAGAGGTGAAGACACTTGTTCTTGACTTGGCACCTAGACTCAGTCCAGCTGGTATTCACTGAATAGTGATTAACAACCTTAACTGTGGAGGACATCAGATCAGACAGGGAGAAGCAGAAGGAATTCTTTTCAACAGTCATGATCAGAAGTGTTTGATGCCCAAATATAGAGAGACCAATGTAGCTGATTTGCCTTCCTTCTTTGCCTTTTCAGACACATCTTTTTTTTTTTTTTTTCCCCTGACAGGAGTAGATTCCAGAATATCATAAATAGAAAGAATGTCCCCCTCTTGCTAGTATACTCTACATTATGTATTCTCATCTCAGTAAGCTGCCAACTTCCACATCCCAATATACAAAAGCCAGGGGAACAACTGGACAAACAACTGGACAATCAAATACAGACTGTGTGGGGTGACCAGGCTGGCAGGGAGGGAAGTTGGGGGTGACCAGGATGGAGGGGGGAGGAGGGGCGGTAGGGAGAGGGGAGAGTTGGGGGTGACCAGGCTGGCAGGAAGACAGCAAGGAGCTATCAGGCCAGCATGGGAGGCAGTTAGGGGCGACCAAGGAAGCAGAGGAGGGCAGTTGGGGGTGACCAAGCCAGGCAGTTGGGGGCAATCAGGTAGGCAGGCAGGTGAGCAGTTAGTTAGGAGCCAGCAGTCTCAGGTTGTGAGAGGAATGTCCCAGATTGGAGAGGGTGCAGGCTGGGCTGAGGGGACCCCTCCCATGCTCCAATTCCGTGCACTGGGCCCCTAGTATTTAAATAATAATGATGCCTCTTTTTTTTTTTTTTTTTAATACAAGGGGATTTTTTTGTTTTTTTAGTAAAGTTGATAGGCTTCAATATTAAGATTTACTCATCATTTTATTCTACTTTTCACTATTAAAGAAGAAGGAAATGGTGTCCCATATACCTCAAATATAAACTGGATCTATAAGAAATTCTTGGCTAGCTGAATTGGTTTCTTTAAGATTAGTGAGTTCCTGAACTCACTTTCCTATGAACTGCTTCAACACCCCTCCATCTCCTCTGCTCCCAAATGTAGGTCTTCAGAGTAACTGACTTAACTCTCCAAGGTCTGGAAATGAAAGGCTTGGAATAAAATACTGGTTCCCCACCAAGGTTTTACTCTATTTTGAAAGGGTGCTGGTTATTTAACATTTTAATTTTCAAAAGAGATATTTCTCATTGCTAACCAATGCTTCTGGCTTGTAGGAGATTACCTATATTGCCAACTGAGTGAGGGCAGACACATATAGCATTAATCACCATGAACAGCTTTTTAAAAAAAATTACAATTTCCATTATATCTTTTTAAAAATTAAAACTGACTGTTGGATTCTTAATTTCCAAGTAGAAAAGAGCATGAGTGTTTGAGTTGGCTGTATTTGGGGTGGAGCCTAGCTCCCAGCTCTGACCTTTGCTATATGAGATCCGGGGCATCTACTTTCTCCAAGCCTCAGTTTTCTGATCTGTAAAGTGGAGATAATAATAGTACTTAACTCATGGTGTTCTTGCATGGTATTATTAATTATTATAATTAGGAACCCTTAAGGGAAATCAATAATCATGTGTAAAAAACTAGTAAAAATGATCATTAATTGGTTCTTTCTCAGCTCTAAAATTTTATCATAATATAATTATTTTTTGAAACTTATTTCAGGAGCAGTCTAAGTGATTAACTAACAAGGACGCTGACAAGGCAGTCAGTGAACTTTAAACCTAGAAACATTCTAAAACCTGCTCCCAAACCAGTAACTGCATCTCCTGTCCCCACCTCCATTCCCCATTCCTGTATAGCATTTACCAGCACATCTATCCGGGGTTGTAGTTTGCATCTACATCTGCCTATGTGCCCTGTGCACCCCTTGCAAACTCCTTAACAGCTAGGAGAATATGACCTGAGCCTTTGTCTCTCTCTCAGCCCTCTCTCTCTGTGCAAGGTGCTATTGCCTGGAGTTGAGAAAGCCCCCTTTGGAAGCCAAAGGCAGCATATCATTCTCATCATCCCTGTAAATGTAATGTAGAGATCTAAGAGAATTGCACATACCTCCTCAAACACCTAATTTACTTCCCAGAGGGACCTAACGAGAGTAATCATCTCACTGTGAGGCTTCTCATTCTCACAAATAGCTTTTATCCATAAATGGCATCCCTGTGTCTCCTTCAGTGTTGGTATTTTTTCGTAGTGTCTGTGAATGTGAGCAGGCACTGTGGGTTCACATTCTATTATTCAGTGTCACTTTTCCCTCCTCCCTCCCTCTCTCTCTCTCTCTCTCTCTCTCTCTCTCTCACACACACACACACACACACACACACACACACACACACACACCTTTTTAAAAATAGTGTTCTTTTAAATATATATATATATATATATATATATATATATATATATATGTTTAATTTCAGAGAGAAAAGGAGAGGGAGAGAAAGATACATACATCCCTGATGATAAAGAATCACTGATTGCCTACCTCCTGCATGCCCCCTACTGGGGATCAAGCCTGCCACCCTAGACAGGGATGGAACCTGGGGCCTTTCAGTCCAAAGGCCAAGGTTTTATTCATTGAGCCAAACTGGCCAGGGCTAAATGTGTGTGTGTGTGTGTGTGTGTGTGTGTGTGTGTGTGTGTTCAACGGAACCACCCTTCCCTTTTCTATGAGCTCCTTTGTCTTGTTTTATATGTACCTTTTCTAGTACCTCCCTTTGCATACTAACCTGAGTAGTAACTATTCAGAACCCAGAGCTGGGATGACTTACTTTCAACCTGATCTTTAGATGAAACTGTTTCATAAATATCCCACCACCTTCACCCATTTTACACATTAGCACCCATCCTGAATAAACTCCATTTCACCTTTTCTTTTACATTCCACGTACATTTCACACATGAGGCTTATTTGGTCACTGCTTTAAGTCTTAGTTGTATATAAATCTGAGAATATTACTAACCTTTTTGAGACTTGCCTTTTTTCTTTCTTTTCTTTTCTTTTTTTTTTTTTTTAAGGATAATAATACCAACCCCTTAAATTGTGGTGAGCATTTTAAAAAAAGTAGCATAGAGCCTGACAAGTGGGCTCTTAGCAAATGTTTCCATATTATAAGGATGGGGGAGGGGTTCTGTTCTCAAATAACAAAACAACACAACAAAGCAAAGAACTATATCCCCATAATCATTGTTTCTTATGAAGCTGCCTCTTTGAACCCTGGCAACTTGGAAGGAGAAGGTAAAAATCTTGATGGGTTTCCAGAGGCCTCTTGTGGGATACAGCTGACAACTTGAAGTAGCCAGCCCGCCTCCTGCTGTTTTCCAGACTTGAAAGAGGCTGCAGCAGGGAGCTGGGATGCCTCCAGTGTCTGAACCTCTGAGATGGCAGGTGCTCCATT